CGTTTCGGCCACAACACAAGTGGCCTTCATCAGGTGAAGGGACCGTGCTGTCATGAAGACAGCAATTCCAACGCTGTCTTCGTGACAGGACGGTCCCTTCACCTGATGAAGGCCACTTGTGTTGTGGCCGAAACGTCGTGATTTTTGTTTTATTTTTTACCTACGTGACTTTACCTAATAGAACCAAAGAGTATGAGCAACTTCCTGATTACACCAACATCCTCTCTGCAATGTACTTTGCCTTAAATGGCGGATATTTTTCTACTAAGGTTTTCTGACCGCTGTCCCTGCAATATGCTTGTGTCCATAAGAGTCCATGCCACCAGGGAAAGTTTTGACGATCTGAAAGGCCAATTCTCTTCAGTGCAACAAGCATTAACGAGAGGTACATTCTCAACATTTGCCGACCATTTAACATTGACACTGTAACGTTTAGTGATTGAACTTGTTTTCCATTGGCTTATGTGGGTCCTGTCCGTATGATATTCACAGGTGAAGCAGAAATGGAAAACATAGAACACGTTTATTCGTCACTGAAAGAAGAAATGAAGGTAAATGTATAATATTTATTTTTCTTCTTTTTATTTTCATTCTACGTGGTGACTTTACCGAAAGAAACCAAAGAAGATGAATCCTTGCAGTCGCGAAAGCTTTAAATCGAAAATATTTATTTTGTTTTCATTTAATTATATTTCTTGAAAAACGTATTATAGTATAAACGTATACACGTGCATATTTCATATTAATGCTTAAACCCTGGTGTCATCTTCTTTTAAAGACATTTGCAGCGACTTTCAGTAATTTAAATTTAAAGTCTCAAAATGACAGGACCATTGCGTTGGACAAAGGTAAGTCTTGTGCAGGGTGACACAATGCATAGCTCAGTAATAAGAAGGTTTTTTTTTTAAATATATAGAGCACCAATGTCCTGAAACAGTCATACATCATATATTTGTTTGCATTGGGCACAGTGGTGCATGCCTGTAAATAAACTACAAACCCGTTGGACTGTGAGGTGGCAGTACAGAAAATGGCCCCTTGATTCCAGCTGTGCGAAACTTTTAAGTGGTGTAAGCTTGAGTTTTCTCTGGGTCGTGTGGAATCCAAAATAGGCACTGAAGTCTTCAAGAATATAATTAGGTAATTTTTATGTTTCATTAACATTGCTATGTTGTTCATTTAATATTTTCCATATTACCATTTTGTTCCTGGACACCTATGATATTAAATAATCTGACGTATTTTCCAATTGTGTCTTTTCAACATTTGTTGAGTGCACTTGTTGTTAATGACTTTGTTTAACTTGTGTTTATTTTGAGTCTTAACTTTCCAGCCTCCTTTATTACATATACAAAATTAATTGGAGCAAGTTTTTGAAAATTAAGCATGAAAATAAAAAAAGTTACTGATCGTTGACTATAACCTCTTTTGACATGCGGTAGAAATCTGGACATCGACAGTGAAAATGGAGCAAAATCTGAAAAGTGCACAAATAAGCATCATTGAAAAGGATCAGAGACCAAACGCAAATTCGAGAGGCAGCATTGAGTGTTAAGGGGAAAGTAAGCGGGGTTGGTCAGGTACACACCGCTCGAAGGGATGATGGTCGTGGTCGAGGCTGGTGACAACAGTGGCAGCCAAATGAGGGAGTGTGCACAATAGGATGGCTACCTCGGAGATGGAGCCATGGGATTTCGGCTCGCGTGCAGCAGCAGCAGCAAGATAGTTTGTTGCTTCACAAGGCCACGAGGGATGACAGCAGCTTGGGGTGGCCTTCATCGAGCGGCGGATAGAGCACTGTCGATGATTATCAATGACAGTTGTGGTTTTACTGGATGAATATTGATGCGCTCAACTATTTTGTTTAACATACGATGCGTGTGTTGTATGTAGTGGAAGCAACTGTGCAAAAAATGGGAAGAGCACAGCAGGACTTTCTAAACAAGTTGGCAATTAAAGAAAGACAGGTTTGTTGTGAATTCATGAGCTGATCGCTTTTTCTCACATTTTAAATGCATATTAGAAAAAAAAATTCGATTAAATTACCATGCATTATATTTTACAAACTAATGTATATACAGTACAAACCTAAGGGTTTGTTATAATACAGGCTCATAATTTTTGTTGATTTCAAATGTAAGAAATTAAGCTACAAAGACATGCCTGTTTCAATCATAAAATATCCTTTGAAGAACAAGAGCAACGTCAAATAAAAACTGATCTATTCCTGTTCCTGTCCCAAACTATTGCCTTTAACGCCTACTATTGCCATTCTGTACAGTGGTTAATACATTGGTTTTACAATTTACAAACGTCTGTAATACAATACAATGCTTAAAATGTGACTTTAAAACGTATTCAGTGCCCTCAATGCATTTGTTCAACTATATATGGGACGTGCACATTTTTACCTCTTTATGTTGATTTTTCAAGTTATTTTCATTCTCATAAACAAAACTTATTTGAATTAAATGACTTGCAAACCAGAAAACTTGCCTTGCCCATCAGTAGGTTATTTCATAGATTCGTGTATACAGTAGTATTGTTCAGTAGTTAGCAACATACGGTTATGTCTGTCACTTGTAGGTCAAAGAAACATCTGAGCTTTTGGAGTCAAAAAATGAAGAACTCAAAACGACCGCTCAAAAGCTGCAAGATTCCATTGAAAACTGTGTTCGACTCGCAGAAATAAAGTGTGAGAATGCTCATAATAAAGGTTTTTGGGTTAGATCGCGTTATTTATAAATGTGTCGCAACCCTCCACCAACCGACATGGCCAATCAGTAAAAAATGTGTCATGCTGACAAAAGACAAATAGTTCACTACTTTAGCCCACCGGTGTGTTGAAGAGTGAATCCACAACATTTACAATTTTTTAGTACGACGTTTCGCTGGTAATTACATCCAGCATCATCGGGCAATTTGCCAGAATAGTGAAGCCCTCCACCTGCTCCCGGTCTAAGAGAGTGCATTAAAATTGTGTGCTTTTGCCAACAGCCTGGATATGTGTGTGGTAGGCAAATGTCTACACATCTGACCGTTAAAGTTGATCTCAATTTAGTTTGTTTTACGTAATTAACAGGTGACTTTCAAACACGACTTGAGCAAGCACAGGAAGAAATTATTACCCTCAAGCTTGAAATAAATCGCTGTCAGGAAGTTGAATGCACACTGCAGGTGACAAATCCATTCATATTTATATATGATTGTCTGCCTATCTCTGTATATTTTTCCTGAATGGTTTTCTCTAGCCTTTTTGCAAATCTCAGCTTTTCACTATATCTGAAAAATGTAGCGGGTCATCTGCCTCGTTGATTTAATCATCATACGGTATAAATGAATATAACTTTCAGAAATAGTGACTAAACGGATTTTCTGCCACTGCTGTAGGCTGAGATACAAAGCATGGAGAGCAGTTTTGCAGAGAAGGAGCGAGAGTACACTGCAAGCACGATGGAACTGCAACAATCGTATGACAAGCTGCAACAAGAACATCAGAACCTACACGCAATTGTGCAAAACCTTGAGAAGGCAAATGAAGAGTTGACAGAAGCAGCCAGCCAGAGGCAAGTGGTGAACAAGTGAACAACACAGCAAGTAGGGTGCTGAGATATATCATCACTATTATTACGTACTACGCTAGTTGACGCAGGGAAGTAGTGTTCTTCACTAATTTTCAGAGGTGGGGAGGGTGGGGGCACTTTCGCCAATACGACATCGTAAGTGTGAGATCCGCCACACATTTGAAACCACTGAGTTTGACAGCAGCACGACGATGGGGAGGTGTTTTCAGATCTGTGTATTGTCGGGCTCCGCATGTCAGGGGCCGCACTAAAGGCCACCAGGGGCCGCTCGTGGCCGGCGGGTCCTTGCAGTGAAGAACTGCCCCACAGTGTTAATTTTTAAAAGGGTTATGCAATTATTTTTGCAATAGGGGGTGACAATTTCTACGTGTTTCCCCCAATTAAGTTATTCGCGATTTTTAAAGTTTGTACATTTCAGACAATGGGAGCTACTAAGGAGAAGGCACTACATTCCGTAGAACATCTGACTGTATCTGTAAAGCAAAACAAATACAGTACATTTCGTTCACTGATGCAGTTTTCTTCATTGATTAATCTGGCTTCTGCCGCACATCACGAATACTGTTCGTGTGACGATTATCTGAACCGGTCCTGGGCCTCCCTTTGGTCGATTCAGTCTCAAATGAGTACCTGGTGTGGTGTCTCAACATCGCCACTAGGGAGACAAAGGCGGTCGGGCGTGGTGCTGGCCACCCACCCCTTCGTGTACTGTGCTGGCCTGCAATGGTGCTCGCAAACAGCACTTGACCCAACAGTCTGTTAAGGCTACATGGGGGATTTTCGTCTTGCATTTAATGTGTGCTGCATTTCGTATACATTGTTGAACAATTAAATGAGGCAGATGTCTTGTTACGTTTTTTCAGGTGCAGTGAAGAAGCTGAGATTCGTAGCAGGCTTGAAACAAATATTCGTGAAAAAAATACAGAAATAGGTAGGCAAAATTTAAAAGTGTAAATGTCCATTGCGAGTGTATTATTTATCGCATGTGCGACATTTTACCTCTGAGTTGTACATTATTAACGTCTATTTTATTGTATATTTTAATCATGTCCAACATTTATTGATATTCCTTTATGAATCTTATTACTTTATTATTATTTTTAGATAATCTGAAAATTGAAAGTGACAATAACACTGCGAAACATAAAGAAACGCTGGTGAGTACATTTTAATGTTTTCACAATATCAGCCAGAAGAGTGGACAGTATTCAACGTCACAATATCAGCCAGAAGAGTGGACAATATTCAACGTTACAATTGAAATTCATGTTTATTACCCAAGTAAAGCCCATTGAGCCAAAAAAGCTCTTTTTCAAGGGTGGCTCAGCTGGAAGACATCAGCAAATCATTCTATCTTAACAATTACACAGGTTATATTTAAAAAAAAATTACAGGGTGTTTGAAAAAGACGGACCCGATTTGAAATCGCTATATCTCTGAAATTGGGTCCATATTTTTAAAACACCCTGTATATTGTACTATTGCATTCACATTTGAACTTTTGTGATCTTAAGTCGGTTTAAGTGAGGACAGAGATGGCAAATTGAAGGTGCTAAGAGACGATGCTAGATGGTTCCAAAACATTGGAGCAGCTACATTAAATGCTTTCGATTTATCTTCCCTCCCTCACTTCCCTGAAATGGTTCAGTTGCGTTGCGATTGTTTTCTGCCAACGATGTCACCTGCTTGAGTAAGCGATGCAACGTTGCCGTATTGGGCTCGCATTTAGTTACCAAAAAAAGCAATTGCTTTTCGATTGATCAAACACGAAGGCGCGCCACTGCGTAGGTCTCCGTCGCTGTGCTCGTATAGCTCTCAGGTTGTGTCGCCGATTGTTTTGCTTGGCAAGGCATTTGACGTTTAGCTCCCATGAAGCTCGGGGAGCACGGGGACGAGAAACGAAACGTTCAGACGGCATCCAAGGAGCTACGCCGATCGCGCGTAATAAATACATTCGAGGTGTAATAGGAGGTATTGGTTTCGTGTCGTGTCTTGTGTAAAGGAATATTTAGACACGGTCAAACAAGAGAGAGCTTCATTCCAAGAAACCATCTGTCGAATGGAACAACAGATAGCCGCCATGGAAACACTGATAAACGAAAGCAAGGTATTTTAAATGTTTCTTAAGTCTATCGTAAAATTACCTGAACAACATTCCTGTAAGTTTTTTTGTAAACGTGTTATAATTGTCATATATCGTCACTGCAGATGCTCTTTTGTGTGCAGAAATATTCAATTTGCGTCATCTAGCATAACATCTTGGGTCTCATTTAACTTCAGAGTGAACGCAATGAAATGAAAGCGAAAGAGTGTGTCTTGGAGAATAACCTTAATGACGCCTTGAAGACAGTACATGTTCTTGAATCAGAACTGTGTAAAGAGAGGTAAATGGCGGAGCTTTATTTTTAAGTTCATTCATTCAGGCATTTCGGCATCCCTTCGCTCTTCCTCTCTTTTATTGTTTCAAACCCCCACCCGTCCTTCCCCTAGAGCGGTGGTTCTTAACCTTTACCGCAGCCAGCAACCCTTTGGTTCTCAATCTTTAAAAATGGTACAACGTTAATAAATACATACCTACTAAATTTCGATTTAAAGCTTTCGTGACTGCAGGGATTCATATTCTTGGTTCTTTCGGTAAAGTCACGTAGAAGGGAAATAATAAAAATAAAACCAAATTCTCACGACGTTTCGATTGCATTTTATAGTTTTATTTTTATTATTTTATTATTTCTCTTCTACGTGACTTTACCGAAAGAACCTAGAATATACATACCTACTCTTCATCCCCTATGGGACATAAGGCTACAATAAATACATAGGGTTTGATGAAACAAAGTAGTTGTACTTAATTTGTGTTTAAGATGATTACCTTCTAAAAAAGATCTGGCCACGTCTCGCACCCCCAGAAAGGGAATTTCACACCCCCAGGGGTTACGTGCGCTCCAGGTTAATAAGAACCACTGCCCTACAGGGTTATTCGAGTTCAGGAAGTCGAGACCAGGGATGTAGAGTTTATTGAAACACAGGGCATTGATAGGTTCAAAATATAAAACGCTGGTAATAATCGGTGTGCTTCACATTGTCTCTACTGGTGTCAACTCCCAGGCATGCCCTCTGTGTGTGTACCTTAATCGATTGTTCCATAAAATACTTTCGGACAAAAAAATGAAGCTTTGAGACAGTTTGGCGGTGTGTTTAGTTTTTTGGATGAATACTTGTCAATTGACTCGAACGACAGATGAAATAAACCTGAAAATAGATACCATAAAAAAGTTCTTACTCATTATAGTACCTGTATAATGTTACCCAATATCGATGTGCGCATGTTTGAAACCAGATACGTTTAGCTTTATTGACACTGGCCCAAGGTTTATGGTGCATCTTACATTCCACAGCATCGTATAATCCAGAGAATACATTGCACTCTCTTGGATTTACACAACTATTGCTTATGGGTTTTTTTTCTGGAGCTAAGTAACCGCATGTGAAATAATAGTATATTTACAATCTTTACTTTTTAACAGAAAATGCAACCTTGACATCAGCAACAAGGTTGGGAAGATTCTTTTGGAAAACGAGGAACTATTTTCTCGCGTGACGAGTCAAAAAAACGAACTTAACAACATCGTCGAGGTATTCTGGCTCAGGTGTGCTTAAAATTCACGTCTGTATTGGCAGTTTCAACTGCAAAACTGTATTTCAAAATGATCTATGCTCTCGTTTTCAGGCAACAAAGCACAACGAAGATACATTACAGTTTAACGTTCAAAAGATGGAATCGAATATCACACACCTAGAGTAAGTTGTTCCTGCCTATTTAATATTCTTTTCAATTCACTCTATGTTCCTTTTTGTGGATGACATAGTTTTGTTGCAAACACAACTCCCATCTCTGTGAAAGAAGACTGGCCCTTTTCTTTATCCATAAGGTAAGGTCTTTATTTCGCGGCAAGGGTCCACACCTTCAACCTCGCTCTCCAGCAACACCCCGAACTCCACCTCCCACTTCCTCTTTTAACCTCTTCCTGGCTCCGCACCTCGTCGCACTCCGTCTCGACCAATCGTCGCCTCTGTTACCCTCACCTGGCCTAACCGTCCCACCTGACGCTCACTCCCCCACTCACCCAAGCCGCTTCCTCTTTTAACCTCTTCCTGGCTCCGCACCTCGTCGCACTCCGCCTCGACCAATCGTCGCCTCTGTTACCCTCACCTGGCCTAACCATCCCACCTGACGCTCACCCAACCCTCTAGTTCTTTTACCTTTTGAATGTTCTGGCCAATCCTCTTGGCTCCCCGTTCCCTGACCAATCAGAGCGTGGAGTGTTTTCTCCCGTCTTCTTCATTACTCTGTCCCAGGGATCGTGTGGGACAATCACTACACCTGTAATGAGGTGTTTTTCTTTTAATCCAGGGAAGACTTGGAATCTGTCAAAGTACTACATAAGGCAGAGCTTGAAGCCCACAAAAAGAAGCATACAAACTTGGTAATACAAAACATAAAACAGTACTCTACAAAGTCCTTTAAATAATTGATTTTCACAATGTAATGGTTAGCACACTAGGTTTGCAATCCAGAAGTGGCCGGATCAATCCCCTGGTGTGACAGTTGAAACAATGAGGACGATTCTGAAATGTGTCTTAGAAGTATACCCAAGTATTTTGTTTCAGTAAACTTGGGTATAGTATTAAAATACACACCCTATATATTTTAGTTACACAGACTGCCATGTATTCTATTCTGATTCATTTATTATCCCTATAGTTCTTTAATGGGGGCATTACCTCTCATTCTCAGTGAGTCGAGAATTACAATTTTAGCAGTGGTATAAAATATGAATCATCGTTGGTGTGGTTTCCGGATACCATGACGCTCCCTATAATACTATCTGAATGAACACGGTTATGATGATTGAATATGGCCTTCCGTTCATATGTTTCGGTTAGTGTCTTAAAATGTAAAACTGAAAGAAAAAAACACCCAACAGAAAGTAAAAAAATAGCAGGAGCTGTGTCGGTCTGTACTGCCATTAAAAAAAAGGCACTCGCTGCATGTGGTTGCCTAATTATCTCAAGTTTACATTGCCATACCGTGTCAACCCATACGGTTTACCCCGTATTGTTGTACAGGGAAATTTAGTCTTTCAGGTCCATACGGTGTACAGCCGTTTCAATACGGGCACAAACTTTATTTTGTCTATTTGTGTTTCTCCCTTGTGATGGGACTTTGTAGGATGAACATTGAGATGTATAAAGGCACAGGGTGACCAATAAGGTCTGAATTGGTCTGTAATAAGTTAGACACTGATAAGCAGGAGCGGAGCCAGGATTTTGACTTTGGGGGTGGCTGACTTCAAAATTCTGAGATATCCAGCGTATGTTTTCCAATGGGCGCCACAAATGTATAAAACACATTTTATTGGATTTCAACGCGGAGTTTATTAATAGGTCGGAGCCGCTGATGTGGCTAATAAGTTCGATAAGTTTGAAAGGCTGCCGCTCAAGCAGCCTGCAGGGCAGCACAAGGTGGCAGCCAGCATTTTGCAGCAGCCAGATATCCGGTTATCCCAATTACCGACTTTCCCAAAATTTCAGGGGGGGCTGAGCCCCCCCCCTCCAGCCCCCCCTGCTGATAAGGGGTTGACAGGTATTTCCAGCATTAATTGTGTCACTTGACACATTTAATGTTTAAAAACACCGCCATTGAATAGTACCAGTCGGTCCCCTCGACAGTTACGCTTGGTGGCAGTGGCAACGCGGCATGGCTGCACGATGGCGATGAACGCAGCTGGTGGGAGTGTTTGCCGTGTGGTCTCTTTTAAGAAGTTTGTGCGCGCTTTTTATCTCGAAGCGAGGGTCATTAACCAATACATCGATTGTACGCGAACTGCAACAGGTTCACAAGTTGGACGAGGCACACTGTGAGAAGGACAGCTATGAAAACAAGGTTAGCGCCAAACCTTTTCAATGACAATGCATATATTATCAGAGCATGTTTGTTTGCATGTTCACCACGGGTACATGTTGCTAATGCAGTACTTGATTCCTTGGAAAAGGTGTTTATTTGGTGTTTGAACATCTTAACGCCTCCTGTTTTGTTGCCAGAAAGGGTAAAACCTATTCTTATTATTTTTCCATACCAAAAAAAGACAGAGTTCCTTATTTCATTAACACTGGCTCATAAAAAAATGTATATCGGATTTTCCGGATTATAACATCTCCTCTCCCACCCATATTTCATAGCAAAACTTGGGGGTGATTATTATTACCCAGTAGCTGTGTGTGTTGTGTGTGTGATCTGATTTGTATAGCTTAATCGACACGGGGTACAAGTGTGGGGTGTGTCTTACTTTCCGGGATAATCCGGAGAATGCTGTCCTAAGCAAGAATTACAGGTCCAGATAATGGCCGAAATCATTAATCTACTTTACTGTATTCAACACACAAAGGCGCGTTCACAAACAGCAGCAGTCAGGCACAACTCCCATAATGCCTTGCATGCATGGCATGTGACCACCGCTGTTTGTGATTAACACACCTTTGTGTGCGTGTTGTTAAAAAATGTTTTCCAGCCTTCACGTACTTTTCTGTTGTGACGGGTTTTCTCCAAACCAATACATTCATCATATGCAGTATATAAACATTATTAATGCTTTTCAACAACAATACAGGACCTAAGGCATACAGAAATAATGGAAGTTGGTGGACGAATAAAATGTATTCAACTTTATTCGCCTGGGGCTGTGATTCAGGAAAAATATGGGGATGGCTAAAAAGTGAGGGATGTGGGAGAGGATGGGGTGAGGGAAGATCGGAGACAACAGAAAAAACAAAGGAAAATATGGGGAGGAAGGCTAGGTTCACACGATGTATGTTGAACTTCTTTCCCACCGTACATAGCCAACCGTTCTAATCGGAGGTGCGGGGGAGGGTAAGGACAAGTATGGATAAAACTTACTGTATTTCATTTAACAGTAAGTTGTTAATGGTTGATGCTGAAGGTGGCAGGGGTTTTTGTTTGACGTGTGCCGTTGTAAGTCAGTCTAAAGCCGGTTTACGTGCGATACAGTAAGAACAGAATGTGGAAGTCAGGTGTTGTTGACTTTATAAATAGCAGACAGGGCGTGGTGACATAAAAAGCATTGCGCGTGATGACCAATTCACATTGACAGCACTTCTAAAACAACCCCTTTTTAACATCTAAAACCTAAGCAGTCTTTATCGTGACTGCAAGGTTCGTTATGACCGTGTTTATGTGACTTTGCAGATCAAGGATTTAGTGTGTGAAATGGACTCACTAAAGCAACAGCACGAACAAGCGCGCAACAAAGCAATGGCAGAGTTAGCGGACTGCATGGCGCAGATAAAACACTTGGAAGAGGTTTGCGAAACGCACTTGACAAATGTTATTTACCTCCGTTTTATTCTTGGTAAAAAAACGCATCTAGTATGCTGTATACTCGATGTGACAAACCTTACTAGTTGACTGTGTAGGGTGGTGGCGGGTTTAACGATCTAACCCAAAAAAACCTCTTACGAATGATATTGGTCACGAAAGCCTACGTGTTAAGCTGATAATGTCTGTATGTTGAACTTGTTTTGCACCGTAAGTAGCCAACCGTGCTAATCGGAAGTGCGGGGGAAGGACAACAATACTAAACAACAAAAAGCAGTTAATACTAAAACTATTAAGAGTGCCATTTATTCAGTAAAACCTCATCAAGTCTTGAGCTCTTTTTTTTCTTTCACTTAAGAGATCTGCGTGGAGATTGTTGCCCATGTCCATCCGTGAGTGTTTTGCGTTCGGTATATTGAAACCGGAGCATCTGGCCAAAGATACACCGCACATATGAGGGCAATTCAGTCACAGGTTTGCGCAACCTACTTTTCTTATATTTTCTTGGCCTCCTTATCAACAAAAGTGGGTTCGGGGGTTTCACAAATGATCAACGACCTTGCCTTTCTTCAAAGGGTGCTGTATTCGCAGACATGTGCCAAACCCACCGCACACAACGACGGGGATGTTGCGTGTTATTGCGTGTGCGTGCAAACTGTGATTCATACCAGTACGGTAGAGTCTAATTGTGCTGTAGCAGATGTTAAGTTTGTATACGTGGAGCGTTAACTTGCATCACTCTTATAAAAAAAAAGCACCAAAGATTTTGCTTTCATGGCATTAGTAATGAAGTTCACACCAAGTGAAAATCCAAGGCACATGTGTGACCGTTGTTTTTTCCCCCCTCTTGCAGATGAAAACACAGAGGATTTCATCTGAGATTGAGAAAGTGAAAATCAATGCAGAAAAAATTGCACAGTTCAAAATTACAGAAATGACTGCAATGGTGGAGGAGTACAAGGTAACGTGCGGAAGTTGGCACTTCATTCCTGAATCGGCCTCACACGCTTTAGCTGCTTCAAAATAACTGCAACGTTTGTAAAAGAAAATAACGAAATGTACTTTTTTCTTCTGATAATTCATTGGCATTGGTGGATGATAAAAAAAGCACAACTTTGCACATTTGTTAATAACGCTCTGCAATGGGCCCCCTTCTTAGCAGCAACAATAACAGTTATCACTTGTAACTCGCACAGCGTTCGCTCACCCTCAGAGAGAGATAGTAATGACTCGAGCACGAGGAACTACGGATAAGCAGCCACACGATGAGTCGGCGCCAACAATGGCCCAAGCTCTTGCTCCTCTCTATATATCAGAATCAGAATATTTATTTAGACTGGAGGAATCCGATGAGCTATCAAGCTGTTTTTCACAGATGTCCAGTAGGGCCATGGGGTCAGAACGTTACAACAATAACAACAAACACGATAGGAGTGCAAAGTATAGGAAAGGTAAAAATATACAAATAAACTAAACAATGTTTTTATCTTACCAAGTAAAGCCCACCGAGCTATATATATTATATTCAGGTGTTATCGGCCAATTAATGAGTGTTTAACCTGTATGTATGCTGAACTTGTTTCGTACTGTACGTAGCCAACCGTGTTAATCAGAGATGTTGGGGAAGGACAGCAAACTAAGCACAAAAAATTGAATATTTATACTGGAGGAATCAGATGATCTATGAAGCTCTTTCACAGATGTCCAGTAGAATTTAGTTTTTCGATCTAGATTTCAAAGTGCATCGCTCCAGTAGCGTTCTAATATCAAAAGGAAGAGCGTTCCAGACGGCCCCAGAATCGCATCTGAAAGCGCGTGATGGAGGGTCATCGCCCGAAAGTTACCCTTTGTTTTTGTTTTTGTTCCTCTTTAGGACAGTTTTATTGACAAATGTGTTGGATTTCTGTGAATATACATAATACTGGCGTTTATGTTTCAATTGCAGGTTTATTTTTAGTGGAAAGTATGTTAAGAATTTTTAAGCATCGTCTTTCGTCGCTGCAATGTTCACGATATATTCACTAAATATATTGAAGCATAAATGGGACCATAGCAAAAACACATCTATATGTATTTCCTTAGTTGTGTGCAGTTGGTAAATGCTATTAAAATGTTTTGCAATTTTTTTGCGATCCTGACGTAAAGCGCCAGTGTGACAAGAAGCTGGAAGATAAAGAAAAAGATTTCTATTCTCTCGACCAAAGATATAAGGAAGCACTTGATAATGTGTGTACGTTGGTAAGTTTAGCTTTAAAAAAAAAAAATTGGATCCACCATTGGTAAATCATCATTGCGAATCGTCACGCTCACATTCACCTCACAGTCCCGGTGATGTTATACAGGCGAGCAATGTTGTAACGTCACACAGCAATTAAGACTCATTGTAGAAACAGAATGGTGACAATTTGTGATGAAAGAGCAAGTGCTCATTTCCACGGTCGCACACTGCATAAAATTTAACTGATAGCTGGTCTGTTCAGTTGTGTTCTCTATGAAATACTCAACGGATCTTCAGTCCAATTATTGTACTAACTCGCCTTTTGCCCGTCCAAGGACAGGTGTATTGCAGTAAATCTGAAACTTGCAAGCGAAAAGCAGACTGCGACGTGATATTCATTGCATCCATTCGTGTGCAATTTGTAAGGCTGTGGTGACACAGATTTGTTTCATTTAAAGGTTATAATCCCTTGTTCATCATGACGTCATTTTTACTTCGATGTCTCAATAGCGTTACGGAGATCGCGTGACGTGAGGGTTCTAACTTTGTGGTGAGGGTTCTAACTTTGTGGTGAGGGTTATAAGTTGACGCTGAGGAGGGGGGAGGGGGCGCCTCGCCCCCCCCCCATGTGGAGTGACGTCACCCGCTAATTATTATTAATGTAAAGTGTGTCCCGCATTCAGGAAGCAGGGTGTGATTGTGGCTGTCTTGATTAAATGTGCCCGTGTAATTAACTACAAAAAAAGTATTCTTTGTTTCTTTCGGTAAAGTCACGTAGATAGAAAGATAATAATAAAAATAAAGTTAATAAAAATAAAAAAACTAATGTAGACTGGTTCTAAATCGGAGTGAGAGTATTGTCAGTCTATGATGTAGAATGTAGCAATGGACACGGAGATGCACGTAGAGATAAAAAGACGGAGATTCCCTGTATAGCCTTAACCAACTGTTGGGGCAAGTGCTGTTAGCGAGGACCTATGAAGGCTGGCACGGCACACGAGGGGGTGGGTGGCCAGCACCACGCCCGACCACCTTTGTCTCCTGAGTGGCAATGTTTACACACCATACTAGGTACTCATTTGAGGTTGAGTCGACCTAGGGGCGGCCCAGGACCGGTTCAGATAATCGTTACTGGTGTTGGCCACGAGTGAGAATCGAACTCGTGTCGCGGGGTTCGTAGCACAACACACTAATCGCGACACTACCGCTCCCCCCCTCTCCTCTGATATACAGAGCCACAGACAGATAGAGAGGCACAGATATTTTCCTTGATAATGCAAGTAGCTTATAACGCGTGTGTCATTCATATCCCCAGACGCCTGCGTTATATATCAGGTTTTCGGTATTATAATATAAAACTCAAGTATACAGTGTGAATCGCCGCAACGTTTTTGTTTGTTGAAAACAGAACACGGCCAATGCTGATGAAATGAGAGCAGAAATAGCAAAGTTAAAGGAAGAATTGAAGCAGAAGGTAACTTTTAACCACAGTTTTGCAAACAGACACGGAGACACACAGGGAGACACTCGCAGACACACACGGTGACACGGAGACAGCCAAGGAGACAGAGACATGGAGACATGATTTTTCCATTATAATGCGGGTAGCCTATAACGGGCACGTTATTCATGTCCACCGATGCCCCGTTATATCGGGCTTTTACCGTACAATACATAGCTTAAATATACAATGCGAATCACCACAACGTTTCTGTTCATTGAAAACAGAACAATGCTTTGGCTGTTTAAATGACAACAGAAATACAAAAGTTAAAAGGACGAATTGAATTTTTTTTACTAAAACCATCCAGTTATTTTCATTTGTTTTCATTACTAGTGCGTGAATTTTTAAAATTATTTTTTTATTTCACACTCGCGTACGTTACAGCAGCTCATACCCTGTAGGCCGGTGCCGTACACAACAGATGTAAATTATTGTTTGTGTCAATCTAAAAATGTTACTATCATCGTCCTGAGATACGGTTGTGTTTAGACGGTCAAGAGATCTAAATAGTATTACGAAATTCCTTTCCTCGGGGAAAGCTCACTGGGTCTCACGACCTCTTTTTTCAGGAGGGTCTTGCATCGGAACGTTAGCGCTTTTTTACCAATTAAGTGTTTGGAATGTGGGAGAACACAGGAGTAAGAAAACCCGCGCATGCGATGGGATATACTGCTCACAGCTCCGGATAATAAATTTAAAAATCTACTTGTCTGCTGCTATCACATAGCTACCTTCCAACCCAATTGTGTGATAGCACATTGTGTTATTGGTTCAGATTAAGCAGTACAAAGATCCTGTCCATTTTTTTTTTAATATAACATGACTTTCAAAAAAGGGAATTCTACTTAACTTTTTTTTTTACATTCCACATCTTTAAATGTTCTGGCAGATATGGCTCCTCTGTTGAACGCGCCCGTGAAATGAGCCCAGAACTTTGTCGTCGCGAAGGCGGCAGCGATTTGATTTCTTTTGTTGCCCGCAGGAGACCAACATTGACGTGTCACACCAGCCTGAAATCGCGCCTCAGTTGGCGGTTACGCCCAGGACTTTCACAGTGACGCCAGCGAAAAGCAACAGCAACACACTCACTCCTGGTTCAGCGGAGAAAACGGCGCTGCGTAAATCCTCTCGGAGTTCTGTGGGCATCTCCATAAGAGTAATACAGGTATATAATATGTCCATTGTGTACAGGAACTAATCCCGTCACTCCCAACTCAACGGTGGTCAGCCTTTGCAGGGCATTCTCTCCTTTGGCTGCCATTCCATAGCGAGTCTTGTCCATCAGCTGTCATCCGTTCCGGCCGAAATATATCCGGCCAAAGCCCGCTCGCATTTTCTTCACATATCCATCTCTCCGTATGAACAATAAAAAAATTTCTTAACCCATTATCCCACAATTGCCTTCTGGGAGTGCATAATTGTATCAACATTGTTTCGAGACAATTAAACTCTGGACCTTATTTTGACACACAGTTGCTGGCCGAGTGTGTTAATGTCAGCACTGGGAGGAACAAATGTGGCCAAGTGAGGTGCTGGCCACAGCAACCCCCCTCGTGTGCTGTGTTGGCCAAGCATGCCTGGGGAGGCTCTCCCTGAAAGCCAGGAGTGGAAATTCCACATTCTCATGACGGGACCCCCAGAATGGGATTTAAACTCGACACTTTTAGTTGAAAATCCACATGGTCTAATCTTTGCACATCTCTGCACCACATAATTGAATTTATGTTGATGGTCAGCGATGCGGCAATCGATTCATCTCGACGAGCTGTACACGATGCACTGTTCAAAGTAGATTTTTTTTGATAACAGATTTTTTATGCTAATGTTTGGTGTTTTGACATCGCAGAGTAGCACTGATTTCGGATTGATTGGTACCCCAGTCGCGGAGTTAAGTACACCCCTGGAAAAAATAGTGTCCCAGCAATAAAATATTGAATTGCCTCTGCCATTTTGTATTATTTGTACCCCGGGGTACCACCATAAGGATCATGTATTCAGACTCATTGTTCATTGTGGAACGTTATGGGTAACAATGTATATAAACACACCTCCATTCTGTGTTTACACATACAGACATAATATATGTTTTGGCCATCAGCCTTTTGGCATTCCAGACCAATATCCAGCAGTATTCATTCAAGCTAGCAAGATCTGGACCAGTTTTTTACTTTCAGGGTCTTATTAATCAATCAGGCTTGTTAAGTAAGTTTCGCTCGGTTAAGCGCAGATGTTAGGTGTTTGCGAACAGCACGGCACTCTTGCAGTCTGCGAGCCTAAATGGGGGATCTTTGTCCTTGTGCTCGTGTGATCTGCAAGGCTTCCCCTTTGCCCGCACCAGTAACAGTGACCAAGTCGGCTTCCAAGGGCTTTCTGAACCCCCTTGACATGGGGGAGATCGTGAATAAAAAACGAAAGGTACTCTATCAGTCGGATTCCGAGAGCTCTGAAGGCATGGATTTTATGGTGAGAAATGCGACTGCTTTGATTGAAATTCTTTGGATGCTGCAGCTCATTTGACCCTAGGGATAATTGGCCTCATGACAGGGTCATTTGTGGATGTTTATGCAAAATAGAGGCATTCTTCCAAATCTACGGTGCACAGTAAAACCACTCAAAGCTGGTCAAACTGGGGTGAGAGCCTTTCCGGTTATGGGGAGCTGTCTGGCATGCCGCAGATAATTAAATATTTGCTATAATCTAATAAAAATAATTGCATGACTATGTAAGTGGAATATAAGGCATTCATTTGACAATAACATTGAACTAAAAATGTACAATTTAAAAACAAACCAAAAAAATCACTATGCAATTTAATGCGAGTCGCCATCCCCATGAATCAGAATAAAAGGCCGAGGTCATTGGATGTGGGAAGGTGGAATAAACATCATGGCGGGCTTGAAGCATTTGTTTAATAAACGTAAGATGAATGTGCCAGAGATAGAGAGCGCTCACAAAGTATGCCCGTGACCAAGGGACGGGTTTCTGAATTCCCCAAAATCAAAACATGCAACACCTAGGTGCAGATTTAGATTTGCTCGTGCAATGTACACACGGGAACTGTTGCGGTCAAAGATTTTTTTTAACGTAAATTATAAAAAAAAAAATTCAGGAAGCCTTTTGGCTTCGGAATTCCAGCAAGGCCGAGTAATTTTTGTTTATTGTAGGATCCATGCATATGCATGATTTTTCTTCCTCGATATTTATATATGTTAGGTCGATGATCAACTGTTGCAAAGTGTCACTGGTGTGATGTCATCCAAGCGACCTGAAAAGGCCAGCGCAGCAAGCAAGGTGAGATCTGCCATCTTTCTCACGTATGTCGAGGTTATGCTGCCGCGGTGCAAATGGTGCGTGCACTTGACTTGAAATCCGGTTTGATCTCCCAGCGCGGCAGTTTAAACAATGCTGATGATGTCACGCACATTTTTTCCGTACTCCTAAATATAATTGTTGCTCTTCAACAGTCACTTCTACTATACATTTACACGTACCGTTTGTGGCCAGGTCGCTACTGTAAAAGAAGCTAATAGTTTAATGGGCCTTACCTGGTAAGATAAAAATGGTTTAGTTTTTTTGTTGATATTTTTTTATCCATTTATTTACCTTTCCTATACTTTGCGCTCCTATGGTGTTTTTGTGTTTGTTGTTGTAACGTCTGACCTGCCCTGACCAGTGGCGAAATCTAACTACCTGACATGTTATACAGGAGGTCGTGGATTCGATCCCGACTCTGACGCCTGTATATTTGGAGCTTGCATGTTCTCCCCGTGATCGCGTGGATTTTTCTCCAGGTCCTCCGATTTTTCCCTCCACATTTAGAAACATGTTTTTAGAGTATTTGGCTGCTATAAATTTCCACATAAGCCACTTCGTTGAGCCTTACCTGGTAAAAAAAAATAGTTAATAGTACTGGACATCTGTGAAAAAGAGCTTTATAGCTCATCGGTTTACTCCATTATAAATAAATATTCTCATTCTGTATAAATGGGTGCACCATTGAATTTATCGGCAGGTTGTGTGTGGTGGGGTCAAGTTGCAGGTACTCCCACCATCTTCCAAGACATCATGTAGACCGGTCACCCTCTGTAGAACTCCCACCAGAACTCCTGCCTGTAGTGGCATGAGCAAGCAATTGCAGCTCTGCGCCGTGACTTCTATTTCCACTTATCTCGTTGCAGTTCTTCTGACGGTTGCTCTCATTCCCAGTCCACATATAGCAGCATCAATGCCAGTTACCTGATTGGTTACCCACCCATTCAAGCCAACAATTTTGACCAACCTTAAATGGGCCCACTCTTGTCAGATCTCAGACACTAAGCAGGGTTGAGCCGGTGCAATACTTGCATGGGAGACTGCTGGGGACTACCAGGCTTGGCTTACGAGGTGGTCAGGAGATGGCAGTGTAGCCATAGATTCTTGAATCTATCAGTGTGGAGCTTTTGAGTGCTACCCCCACCCCTCATATAAATGCTGTTTAATGTTTACAATAATATGTGGCAAAGAGACCAGCCATAATCATTCCACTTCTGGACGATGGCCTCCCCGCGCAATCGGCATCTCTCACGATCCTGCAGATCTATAATGATCCACACCTAGCGCCTGCACACAGGACTCAATTCATTGCTCCATCTCCTCGGTTGGCACAGTCTCAGTCAAGTAGCTTCCGTTGGATGCCACTCCGGTCCATTTTTTCTTGACCATCGTCCATCATCCTTCTCTAAGGCGCCTGTCCTTCCCAAGCCGGCTTCTTTCAACAGTTTGAACGATGTCGTGAACCTGTGTATATTATCTAACCCTCGCGTTGTCCGTACGTACGTGTGTGTGTGTTGAACTTCTTTCGCACCACCGTACGTTGTCATGAACCTGTGTATATTATCCCATACCTGTCAACCCATACGGTTTACCCCGTAATCTTGTCCAGGGAAATTTAATTTTCAGGTCCAGATTCTACACAAAACAAAAACAATTGTCTTTGTGTTTCTCCCTTGTGATGGGAATTTGTAGGATGAACGTTGATATATCTAAGGGCACGGGGTGACCAATGAGGTCTGATTGATCTTTAATAAGGTAGGCACTAATAAGCAGGGGCGGAGCCAGGATTTTGACTTTGGGGGGCTGACTTCAATATTCTGAGATATCTCAGTGTGTTTATGTTTTCCAATGGGCGCCACAAATGTATAAAACAAATTTTATTGGATTTGAACGCGGAGTTTATTAATAGGTTGAAGCCGCTGATGTGGCTAATAAGTTCGATAAGTTTGAAAGGCTGCCGCTCAAGCAGCCTGCAGGGCAGCACACAAGGTGGCAGCCTGCAGGGCAGCACGAGGTGGCAGCCAGCATTTTGCAGCAGCCAGATATCCGGTTATCCCAATTACCGACTTTCCCAAGATTTCAGGGGGGGCTGAGCCCCCCCCAGCCCCCCCTGCTGACAGGTATTATATAACCCTCGTGTTGTCCGTACGTGCGTGCGTACATGCGTGTATACGTGCGTGTGTACGTGTGTATGTTGAACTTCTTTCGCACCACCGTACGTAGCCAACCGTGCTAATCGGAGGTGCGGGCGGATGGACAACAAAAACGTTCCTTTCACCGTCTCTCAATGTAATCCCAAGCGGGCATCTTGCCATGCTTCTTTGTGAGCACCTCTGCGTGTGTGTTCCGTATCTTTTTTGTTTGTTTAACGGCCAGTATTTATGAACCGTATATCATAGCAACTAGTACATTCTGATTTGTCATTTCCTTAGGCACATTTGGGTTCTTAATGTTAAGCAACATGTAGAGAGAGTAAGATTGTATAACCAATAGCATTACAAGCATAGTCATAATAACTTTTAATATGTGCGTCCTTTAAAACGTTTTGACAAGACCAAGAGTGACAATGCATGAAGCACAGTTTTCTTCAGTGCTCCTGTCACAATCCCTATCAGGCCTAAACATGTGTTTTTTTTGCCAGACACACCAGCCAGGCATAAGCACGATTACTAATCCTCATGAGCATAGGTGAGTTGAACCTGCTTCGTATCCAGGGCAGGTGCGAATCCCAGGTGCAAGGGCAACTTTAATTGCCCGCAGTCTTGTAATATGACACGTGTGAATTGTCACCGCAGATATCCAAACAATCAGAGAGGGACATGTCAAGACATGTGTACAGAATCAACCAAAAGCCCTCTATATTCTACACAAAACAAAACAAGGTACTCGGTACTTCAGTATTTGATGACATTTAGCTGTTGTGGAGTTTTTTGTTGTTGTTACGTGTGATTGTGCAACCACTGTCAGTGCAGTTGCAGCAGCATCACCAAGTAATTTCTTCAACTCTACACTGGGTAACCTGCGGTGGGGGATTCACACAGCACGGCACTAAACTGGAACTGTCTGGCACGTGGCATTTCAATACAGTACTAAACTGGACATGTCTGGCACGTGGCATTTCAGTAGAACACTAAACTTGGACTATCTGGCACGCGACATTTCTTTGCAGCTTCCGAGATGCACCCAACCTCAAGTGGGCATCGCTCTACGCGCTGTTCGGTTTATTGAGCTACCTTAGCACGAGTTTGAATTTCCTTCCGATTAAATTTGTAATTTTACCTGTTATATGCAGTGCACGGTGAATCCACGCGTGTTAGTTCAAGGACACGCCATAGCAACGTGGACGTATCCACCACTGGACCCGTACACCGCCTTACGAGAGACAAACACCAACCCATGCTCACTTGAGCAGGAGACCTGCTTTAGACTTTTGACGATGCCCTATTGTTGCGGTGTCTTTGATGTGTTAATTTGTCACAGGTGATTGGGATCTCAAGAAAATCCACGTCGACAGAAAAGATCAAACAAGGGAAGATGTTTTCTGCATTGCCTCCCATCACGCTTCCTGCAAAACAGCTGGACACGCCCTTCGACTGTTCTGAGAGTCAAGATGTCTACACTTTTGGACCCGAGGATTAAAAAAAATAATTGGAGGTTTTTTTGAGCGACGTTGTTTTGCGCTCTGTGTTCTTGGTGAAGACTTTTAGCCACCGCAGTTAAAATGTTTTGGGTGTTCAGTTTTTAAGGCAGTGTTTTTCACCAATTTTCAGAGGGGAGGGGGGGACACTTTCGCCAATAAGTGTGAGTAGGGCCACCACACATTTGAAACCACAGTTGGGTTTGACAGCACGATGATGATGATGATGGGGGGGGGGGGTCTTTTCACATTTGTGTATTGTTGGGGGGTTGGGGCGCATGTCAGAGGGCCGCAATAAAGGCCCATCAGGGGCCGCCAGTGGCCCGCGGGCCTTGCACTGAAGAACGAACTGTGTTTAGGTGTTTCGGTCAATGTTTGAAAGCTATGCCATTCAAGTGGTGAAAAAAACAACCTGGGTAATTCTGAATAGGTAAAACATGGTTCACCTCAGTCGCAATGAAATGGCCATGAACAAAATACAAACTGTGTTTAAAGACTGCTCACGGAGCGTGGCGTTGAAGTAACATAATAAACACGTCTTCTTGGTTCTTTTGGTAAAGGCACGTAGAAGGGAAATAATAAAATAAAAAAAATAAAAAATTTACATTCTCACGACGTTTCGCCCACAACATAAGCAGCCGTCCTCAGGTGAAGAAACAGAGATGTTGGAAAGACAGCCCTGCTCCTCCCTCCCACCCAGCTTAAAATACGCTGCCAAGCTTAGCAGTGTTCATTGGAGCGCTGTCTTTCCAACAGCTTTGTTTCTTCACCTGAGGACGGCTTCTTGTGGCCGAAACGTGAGTATGTAATTTTTATTATTTTATTATTTCCCTTCTACGTGACTTTATCAAAAGAACCAAGAAGATGAATCCCTGCAGTCACGAAAGCTTTAAATAAAAATAATAAACATGCTTGACACAATAGGAGCAGTATAACATAACTGTCAGGCGTGTACTTTCGTCACATTGTGGATGCTGTGATTGCGAAGTAAATCTTGATTTGAAGCTTTCATGACTGCAGGAATCCATACTCTTTGGTTCTTTCGGTAAAATCACGTAGGTATTAAATAAAATAAATCACGACGTTTCAGGCGCAACACAAGGGTCCGTCATCAGGTACTGACATAGGCAAGTACAGTCAGTTAAGACTTTACCTGGATAATAACGCCCTTCCAATGATTGCTCAGTTTGTATCCATCTTCTCGGTTGAAGTTTGTGTTTATTTATCTGGATGGCTTCATGAACAAATCTCTGAAGGTTTGCAGAGTGCCTCCATCTTGGAAAAATCAATTTTGTGTGAGCCCACAGCGTTAAAACAATGATCAGCAATGGCAGAGGTATTGGTCCTACCGTGTTTCAGATCTGCCTTGTGTTCACGAACGCGGTCCGAGACATGTCGTTTCGTTTCCCCAATGTAACTGCTGCCGCAACCACAACTCAGTTTGTAGACACCAGGGTATTGCATGTCAGGAATCACATCCTTTACAGATGGGATTAAATCACGGATTTTGTGTACTGTGTTGAAACGAACCTGGATCTTGTGTTTGTTTAGGATTTTGGAAATATTTTTGGTAACCCCTGCTATGCATGGTAAAGTGATGGTTTTGGTTGGATCCTCAGAAGGGGAGACAATCTTCTGAGGATCCAACCACTTTACCATACATAGCAGGGGTTACCAAAAAGATTTCCAAAATCTTAAACAAACACAAGATCCAGGTTCGTTTCAACACAGTACACAAAATCCGTGATTTAATCCCATCTGTAAAGGATGTGATTCCTGACATGCAATACCCTGGTGTCTACAAACTGAGTTGTGGTTGTGGCAGCAGTTACATTGGGGAAACGAAACGACATGTCTCGGACCGCGTTCGTGAACACAAGGCAGATCTGAAACACGGTAGGACCAATTCCTCTGCCGTTGCCGATCATTGTTGTAACGCTGTGGGCTCACACGAAATTGATTTTTCCAAGTCAGAGGTACTCTGCAAACCTGCCGGCTACTTTCAGAGATTTGGTCATGAAGCCATCCAGATATATAAACACGACACAACTTCAACCGAGAAGATGGGTACAAACTGAGCAATCATTGGAATGACGTTATTAACCATGTAAAGTCTTAACTGACTGTGATGTTTCAATCCTACCTGCCTATGTCAGTACCTGATGACAGACCCTTGTGTTGCGCCCGAAATGTCGTGATTTATTTTAATTAATACCTACGTGATTTTACTGAAAGAACCAAAGAGTATGTGAAGCAAATGTTAAATTTTTCTGTTCATTGCTAATATAGCTTAATTGAGTGCCATCTTGTAAGGTTATGTCAAGTGTGTGTTCAACATTAAAGCACTTAAAAGCCCATGTAATTCCATACTTTTTTTTTTATTCAACGTTAGGAAATACATTCTGTGCAAATGATTGGGACTGGTGATGCTGACGTAAGATTCACAATCAAATTCTTATTTCGGAAAGGTTACGAGTTCGCTACCCCGTCGCGAGTGTCAACTCAGCCCTTCACCTTTTTGGCGTTGTTAACATTACGTCAAGAGAGGTCACGGGCAACGAGTCTTGGCGGCTGCCCCAGCGTATCGGGGATTCTTTAACGCGAGCGGAAGCGCTACCTCGCTTCACTGGAGCAAAAGACAACACTTTTACACTTTGATATTTAAGCTGTAGATTCGTAAAGGTTGCAGTAACAGCGCTGTGTAATAGCGGAGGCTCCAGGGTTATTTATTGTAAAAGTGTAAGAGAATCAACAACCGGTGGCAGAAAATATTGTAAAGGAAAACATTGCAATACAACAACAAACTTTACATATATATTTTTCCTCACTTTAAAAATAGTTTAAAAGGCATCACTGTTACGACAGAACACTTGTAACTTAAATCCTGGCCACACTCCACATCGATATGCTTTTAGCATAATGCCACACAACAGTGGACAATGGTGCAACATTGACACCTAAGTATAACAACTCCCAAGTTATCTTACAGAGAGCACCCACACACATACGGCATATCCAAAGATATACGAACATGAAACAATGTGTACTCTTAGTGCAAAACAGCATTATTTACGCTATTCTTCTGCTTAAAAGCCAGTGATCAACTGCGTTCTTCGTTGACAGAGGTGCGTGCGATGTGTGCCGTGGTGGTCATTTGCCGGCCATGGAGTGTTCGTTCTTTTCACCCGATGTTTAAAAGGAACGTTGCGCCTTAAGAAAAAACGAACAGGGCTCGTCCAGCTCTGGCTGGGCTCAGAGTTTCGTTGGTGCAGGCTTGGCCACCTCTTTGAAGTGCACCAGAAAAACGCCCTGGGACATGTCATGGGGCAGGAGAATACAGGGTGCTTTAAAATAAATGTTAACACTTAAATGGGATTAGTTTTTAATGGAAAAAGTAAAGAATAATAATAGACTATTATTATGCATGTAAATGCACGGTATTGAGTGGTGTGCTTTCACACGACTGACAAAAAACCAGGACTTGCTAAGTAATGTTTCTGCGAAGACTTGCAGATATCGCACGGGAGCTGACCTCAAGAGATTGATCTTGGGAAAACCAGTACGGTAAAGTGTTAAAAATGGTAACCGTGGCAATCTAGTGACATCCATTAAATGAATTTAAATGCATCAATGCAGGGATATCATGACATCACAGCAAGGACAGGTGGCAACCTCGCGTCTTTAAACAACAAAAAATACTTTAAAATCACACTCGTTTTGGAAATCTAGCGGCGTCACTTAAATGGAGTTCGATATAATGTCAGTTGCGGGTGGAGTCACAACAGTGCGCTGGACGATGACCCTGGCGTCTTTGGTTTGTTTTGCTCACCAAACGAAGCCTCAAAACATCACGTCGGACGCAGCCGGTGTCGCACACCGCCTCGCCACGTAAGCACCGGGAGAAATTTGTGTTTTCCTTCCGAATTGTTATTTGTTAACGAACATATCCTGAACGAGGAGGTAAAAACCGTGAAAACCCACCACACTAGGCAGCGCCACAAGGGAGTAGGAGGGAGGCTGGCGCTTCACCTGCTTGGTAGACGGGGGTTGGGGTGGTGGGCAAGCGAGAGACTTCACACCTCCGCTCATAACTCCCTGCTCGGGGAGACTGGGAGGCAAGCGCCAATTAAGTTAAATTTACCGGGTAAAATGTGTATAATTATCGCACGCCGTTTATGTTATAAATCCCACCCCCTACAGCATCACCAAGGTAATGTGCTCGAGACCATTTCTGTTCACGTTAGAGGTAACGTCCCTACAACATCACCGAGGTAATGTGCTGTAGATCAGTTACGTTCACATTCTTTGGGTCTTTCGGTAAAGCCACATAGATATAAAAACAAAAATCAAAATCGCGACGTTTCGATCGCAACACAAGCAATTGTCTTCAGGTGAAGAAGAGTGGGAAATCTGCTGAGGTAGGCTGTCTAAACAGCCTTGTGTTTCGATTGAAACGTCGTGATTTTGATTTTTGTTATTTTTTTATATCTACGTGGCTTTACCGAAAGACCCAAAGAATATGAATTCCTGCAGTCACGAAAGCTTTAAGTCAAGATTTAGTCACGTTCATGTTCGAAGTAACGTCCCTACAATATCACCTAGGTAATGTGCTGTAGACCAGTTACATTTTTGTTAGAAATTACATTCCTACAACATCAAGGTTATGTGCGATAGACCAGTTACATTCACGTTCGAAGTAGCGTCCCTATAACATCACCTAGGTAATGTTCTACGGACTATTTACATTAAAAAAAACAGCGGTGGTCGCCGGAAAGGTTACTATAGCCAGAGAGAGCGGATTAAAACATAGAAAATACTCGGTAGCCCGAGGTGGGGATTCGAACCCGTCTACTTCACGTGTTAAGGGTGACCCACCCTTCCTGTACTGTCTTCTCGGCAATGCCGCTTTCACGGGGACAACCAACCCGCCGTACTTTATCCCTAATGAACATCTGTTGCATCGCCAACGTTGCCACTAACCCCATCACCCAATTCCCTGACCCCCCTTGCCCCCAGCCTGCGCCCGATGTAGTACAGGGACTACCTCTACTTACGAACATTCGACTTAGGAACTTTCAGAGATAAGCACAAAACCTGTCCGTATGTCCCGTTATAGCTGTTCAATGATGCCATTGCCCGTCACAAGTTGATTATACAGAGATGAAGAGAACTGTACACACATCTCTGGGTAAGTATTTCAAGAGAGTGGAGAGGAAAACACGAGCGCCAAAGGGAATTAGCATCTATATCTGCAGAACGTGAAGAACCAGTGGCATCTACATCTGCAGAACATGAAGAACCAATGGCATCTGCAGAACGTGAAGAACCAGTGGCATCTACATCTGCAGAACATGAAGAACCAGTGGCATCTACATCTGCAGAACATGAAAAACCAATGGCATCTACATCTGCGGAACATGAAGAACCAGTGGCATCTACATCTGCAGAACGTGAAGAACCAGTGGCATCTACATCTGCAGAACATGAAGAACCAGTGGCATCTGCAGAACATGAAGAACTAGTGGCATCTACATCTGCAGAACGTGAAGAACCAGTGGCATCTGTAGAACACGAAGAACCAGTGAAATTGACATCTGCAGAACATGAAGAACCAGTGGCATCTGCAGAACACGAAGAACCAGTGGCATCTACATCTGCAGACCATGAAGAACCAGTGGTATCTACATCTGCAGAACGTAACCAGTGACATCTACATCTGTAGGAGAAAATACAACTTGTGTAGCCATTCCACATGTTTAGTGTACACGCCGTACAATGTGTTTGGAATCAACGGGAGTAAAGTTGGACTTCCGAACATACCTCTGGAACCAAACTCGCTCGTAAGTAGAGGAATCCCAATATAACCTCCCCAATTGTACAAAAGAGAGTTGGCGCTGCCCACGATCTAGCATGATGCGCTCACACACGCGTGCACACACGCGTGTGTGTGCGCCTGCTTGTTTGTGGGCGTTGTGTGTTAGGTGGCTCGTCCTCTTTGAAGTTTCACCGTGAAATTCGGCAACCGTGGAGGGCGGGCGGGGGGACACGCAACCGCGATGCGCTTTGGATTTCCAGCCCCCCCCCCCCGACCCCCTGGGTGGTGCTGCGAATTGGGCTAAGTGTCTCGAACAGAGACAAACTTTTTTTTTTTAGAAAAAATAAAGACGGGGAAATGTGACTCCGAAACACGTGCTTCTCCATCAGCGGTCACCCATGGGAAAGAAGATGATGCAGTGGGGTTTTTTCTTCTTAGAGACCTGGAAAGTAAAACACGAATGGCGCATTACTGATGAGAACGCACGGCAACTTTTGCCACGCGTGGTCACGTGAGCGCAACGCGATTTAGAAATAGGCCGCGAGCTAAGTTTTAAATTCACGCTCATTTTCGTGATGCGCGCGTGCCAGTGTTGAAACGGCGCGCGCGCCGGAGTGCGTGGAGCCCCGACGGTGTTCCCGAGCGCGCTGGCGAGCTGATCGGTCGTCCTCGGGGGCGGGCAGCCGAGTCGAGTAAGCGACGCTGCCGCCTGAGGTGCGGCAGCACGACAACCGGCGTCTTCCTTCTCGCGCGCCATTTCGAAGGTCCTGTCCGAGTGAACTTTGCACTTGGTGTCAAATGGCGTTTCAAGGTACACGCGATTTCGAGTTGGGCGACCGCCCCCTTCCCCCCCCCCCCGCGCGTACAACGAGATGGTGCATTGCTCTCCCGGTTGTAAAGATGCTCCGGGAGAAATTTAGAATGCGCCAAAGCATAAAAACTCGTGCCCGGTGTCAATAAATGTACACAAACTTGGGTCTCGCGCACAACTGGCAGGTCTCAACATGCGGAGAATACGGTAATGAAATACAAGGGGTCGGTCGGTTCACGATGCCATCGATTAAAACGATATTTCGATGTAATGATCCGCCTACCCATAGGGTCTCCCCATTGTTTCTATCAGCGATACATTTTCGATTAACGATATCACGCGGAGCCGACAATTTCGGCCAATCGCAGCGCTCCTAAGTGGACTCGGCAGCAGACCTCGGCCAATCAGCGGCGCTCTCCCACCCCAACTTCTCCATCAACCCCTTAAGCCATTTGTCATCTTCTTAGCCTAAGGTAAGAATTAGAATTTTACGCTCTATTTATGCACCTTTTAATGCTCTATTAATTGCTTATTCATGTTTCTATCAACATGTTCTTATAACGTTTATTTATTATAATCGCGTGTTCAAATACTCCAAACTACGTTTCTAGGGTGAGAAAGGTCAACTTCCGGTCGTCTTTGAACAAATGAAGCCTTTAACGCGTATTTCCTACGTTCGATGAACGATAACTTCAATGAACGATGGTTTTTCGTGGAACCCGAATTAATATCGTTAACCGAGGGACCGCTCTACCAGCCGGTGGTTCAGAGAGCTCTACTCAAGATCAGAAGGTCGTGAGTTCAATTCCCAATCATCGGCCAACTCCCACCCGTCATTCGTTCAAGGTCACGTGAACCCGTCCCGTACAACATACGAATCGAAGTCCGTCTCCATTAACGGTAACTCAGGCAGAAGTCCACCAATAATAATAATGATGCATCGCGGCTTCTGATTTAATTAATCGCTGTAAAACTTTGGCTTTCACGACCAATAAAATCCATAACAGAGGTTTTTGGGTTACATCACGTAAATATCACTGTGTCGTTAAACCCGCCACCACCCGACACAGCCAATGAGTAAGGTTTGTCACGTAAACAAAACGTGCCAATTCGTTGCTAGTTCAGCACCACCCGATGTGTTGAAGAGTAAAACCCACAACATTTACAATTCCAGTACCCTGACGTTTAGCCAGTAATCACAACCGGTATCATCTGGCGGACAGCCAGATTTGTGGAGAAATCCTCCTCCTCTGTCGGGTGGTGGCGGGTTTCACGACACATTTATATTTACGCGATCGAACCGAAGGAACCTATTTCGGATAAATCGATCGCCTTAACACGGTACTCCTCTGTACGTGAATTATTCTAGAGGGTGAGCGGTAGCTCGCCTGTGCCTTCTGCGGTGACACTGCCTATGACTGCTGTCACTGAACAAAATAAACCATGAAAGGGGCAGCCCTTATCTTACTTAATATTTCAATAACAGCGCCCTAGCTCGAGGGTGCTCTTCATAACATAGTTTAGAAAGCGGTAACGAGAATCGTGGGGTTTAGATGGCGGGGCAGTGCAAGAGGCTAAGGAGTGAGTCACTGTAACAGAGAGCAACATAGGGGATCACGAAAGGGCTACAGGGGAGGGACAGGAAGGAGTGGAGGGGCGAGGGGAGGGATGAGGAAGGGAGTGGGCGATGATGGAGAAGAGGTGGTGAGGCTTTGAGAGAGGAACGGAACGAGGTTAAGGAGGGGGACTGGGGCAGTGTTGAGTCTACGTGCAGTGTTGAGTCTATGGTGCAGTGTTGAGTCTATGGGCAGTGTTGAGTCTATGGTGCAGTGTTGAGTCATTGGGCAGTGTTGAGTCTATGGGCAGTGTTGAGTCTATGATGCAGTGTGGAGTCACTGGGCAGTGTGGAGTCATTGGGCAGTGTTGAGTCTATGGGCAGTGTTGAGTCTATGGTACAGTGTTGAGTCTATGCCACAGTGTTGAGTCTATGATGCAGTGTGGAGTCATTGGGCAGTGTGGAGTCATTGGGCAGTGTTGAGTCTATGGTGCAGTGTTGAGTCTATGCCACAGTGTTGAGTCATTGGGCAGTGTTGAGTCATTGGGCAGTGTTGAGTCTATGGTGCAGTGTTGAGTCTATGCCGCAGTGTTGAGTCATTGGGCAGTGTTGAGTCTATGGGCAGTGTTGAGTCTATGGTGCAGTGTTGAGTATATGGTGCAGTGTTGAGTCATTGGGCAGTGTTGAGTCATTGGGCAGTGTTGAGTCTATGGTGCAGTGTTGAGTCTATGCCGCAGTGTTGAGTCTATGGGAAGTGTTGAGTCTATGATGCAGTGTTGAGTCTATGGGAAGTGTTGAGTCTATGGGCAGTGTTGAGTCTATGGGCAGTGTTGAGTCTATGCCGCAGTGTTGAGTCTATGGGCAGTGTTGAGTCTATGGGCAGTGTTGAGTCTATGCCGCAGTGTTGAGTCTATGGGAAGTGTTGAGTCTATGGGCAGTGTTGAGTCTATGGGCAGTGTTAAGTCTATGGGCAGTGTTGAGTCTATGATGCAGTGTTGAGTCTATGGGCAGTGTTGAGTCTATGGGCAGTATTGAGTCTATGGGCAGTGTTGAGTCTATGATGCAGTGTTGAGTCTATGATGCAGTGTTGAGTCTGCTTATTTAAGCCTCTGTCTGTTCATCCCTCTGGCCCTTTTTCTTGCTTCTCTGTCCGTCTTTCCTCTTCTTGCCTCTTGATGTCCCTGTATTTGTATTTCTGCTACCTTATAACTCGTATTTGTTCACTCTGTCTATGCTGGTATGTTCAACCCAGAGGATGAACACGAAATTTAGCACTCTTCTGAAATTCGTGGTGCGCCAGGCAAGTGTCTAACTGTGTCGTTGGCCTGACTGGTTTTGCATCACGTAAAATTTTCTTAGGTTTGTTGAATTCTCGTCTCTCATCTTCTTGTTGTATTTACCTCCGTGCAGTTTAACGCTCTCTATGTGTTGCGTTGATGTCACCCTGTGTGCTCCCTCGCTATTTGTTTTTTACACCTGATGAAGATCACTTGTGTTGCGGTCGAAACGTCATGATTGATTTATTTTAATATAATTTTATGGTATTTCTACATACGTGACTTTACCGAAAAAAACAATGAGTAATCTATGGTGCAATGTTGAGTATATGGTGTAGTGTTGAGTCTATGGGCAGTGTTGAGTCTATGGGCAGTGTTGAGTCTATGGGGCAGTGCTGAGTCTATGGGCAGTGTTGAGTCTATGGTGCAGTGTTGAGTCTATGGTCAGTGTTGAGTCTATGGTGTAGTGTTGAGTCTATGGTCAGTGCTGAGTCTATGGTCAGTGCTGAGTCTATGGTGCAGTGTTGAGTCTATGGGCAGTGTTGAGTCTATGTTGCAGTGTTGAGTCTACGGGCAGTGTTGAGTCTACGTTGAGTGTTGAGTCTATGGGGCAGTGCTGAGTCTATGGTGCAGTGTTGAGTCTACGGGCAGTGTCGAGTCTATGGTGCAGTGTTGAGTCATTGGGCAGTGTTGAGTCTATGTTGCAGTGTTGAGTCTACGGGCAGTGTCGAGTCTACGTTGAGTGTTGAGTCTATGGCAGGAGGGATCTCTCGTCACGGTCGTATCGTCAGTCAACTCGCAGTGAACGGCCACGGTGGCAGCGGCCTCTCACCTGTATCGTCACTGCCATCGTCCAGGAGGCGCTGGTGGTGGAACGGGCGGTTGATCATGTAGCGCTTGCGCACGACGAACAGCACGCCCAGCATGAGCGCGATGGCCAGGAGCACTCCGAACACGACTCCTGCCACGTGGCCCGAGCCCTCCGCACTGCTGGCTGCCGTGGGGGGGGTAGGGGGGGAGAGAGTGAGAGTGAGATTCAGCGGGACGGTGTTTTGCGGTCGGCGGGGACTTGCGAGTCAAAATTCGTAGGGGATTCTCGCCCGGTCGTCGCGACGAAGGGTCGCACGGTTCGCGTTGGGCGGGTCAGGGCCACGTATCCACGTGCGTTGACACCGAACCGAACAGTTCATAGTCTGCCTTCGTTATCCGCATCGCCAGTTTCTTCAGCCTCCTACCCTCCAGTCCCGCTCACTTCCCAGACCCGGCGTTTTGTCGGCCTCGGGTTGGAGCTTGCACTTCGCCACGCCCCCTACCCCACCACCTGGGCCCACCCCCTCTCCTACCTGGCTCCTCCCCCACCCCCCCCCCTCCCACCACTCTTACGTATATATAGCCTCATGTCACAAGCAGCCTCCTTTTGCCCATTTCAGCAATTTGTTTATTGCTGGGGTTGTTCCCACCTGATGACGGGCGCTTGTGTTGCGCCCGAAACGTCGTGACTTCATTTATTTTATACCTACGTGATGACTTTCCCGAAAGAACCAAAGGGCATGAACTGAACAATTCCTTTGCGTTTTACCGTATGATAGCTCTTTTTTTTCAGAAGTGCCCTGGCCACAAATGATAGCTCGACGAAGTGGCTTCCCGTCGCGTGGAAATGCACGGCGGCCAAATATTCTGAACGCGTGACCGTCGACTCTAAATGCGGAGGGGGAAAAACCGGAGGACCCGGAGGAAAATCCACGCGGCCACGGGGAGACAGAGAGACAGACATGCTCCAAACTCCAAATATACAGCAGCAGCAGCAGGTGTCAGGTGCCTGGATCGAACCCACGACCTCCTGTATACAAGGCGAGGTAGTTAACATCTCCTAGCCACCGTGATGATGATGATGATGATGAGAGACGCAAACTCCAAATATACAGCAGCAGCAGCAGGCGTCAGGGTCAGGATCGAACCCACAACCTCCTGCGTACCAGGCGAGGTAGTTAACATCTCCTAGCCACCGTGGCGTATAATGTCACGTGGGGCCATCGGGAGTCAACCGAGCTTGCCGGGGGACGTCAGTTACCTTTGTCGTTCCTGCTGCCGTCTCCCTTTGTGTCGCTCACGGTCGTGCTCGCCACGCTCTTAGGCGTCGTCGCGGCCGCTTTGGTCGTCGCCTTCGGCGTTGTGGTCGCCTTCGGCGTTGTGGTCGCGGCCGCTTTGGTCGTCGCCTTCGGCGTTGTTGTCGCCATCGGCGTTGTCGTCGCCATCGGCGTTGTCGTCGCCTCGGCCGTTCCGTTGGCCGTTGCGTTCACCGTGGTTGACACCGTGCTGCCGTTGCCGGCGGTGGCAGAGGAGGCTGCCGTGGCGTTGGCGGCGGCGGTGGCGTTCGCGGTTGACGCCGGTGCCTCGGCGGCGGCGGTGGCGTTGGGCGCCGCCTGCGACGACTCGTTGCGCCCCGGCGACGTGCCGTTGCCCGGAACCGTCGATGGCCCTCCGGTGACGCGCGGCGGCGGCGGCGGCGACGACGGCGACGACGGAGTGGCGACCGGCAGCGTCGTGCTGACCACCGCGCCGCCGGTGGTCGCCGTCGCCGGAGCGCTTTCGGCAGTCGCACTCGACGTGCCGGCCACGAGCACGGCGAGAGTCATCGCCAGGCTCCACCACGGGGCCCCTTTAGTCTGACGCATCCTGAGGGCCTCGCCTTGGGTTTTGCTTCTTTCGCTTCGAGCGGAACGGGCGGACCTGCGACGACAGCGGGGATTTTCACGCGGGGTTCAGCTCTCGCAGGCCAAAGGCGCAGCCCTGCAAGCGATGCCTCTGCTCGTGCCGCTCGCTGGCGGAACGTGCCCCCCCCCCAGAGAAACGGAAAGTGGGGGGGGGGGGTGGGGTCATAAAGTTACAAATAGGCTAACACTGAACCATTTTTGATTTGACCAGGCAAGGCCCCCACTGAGCTACGCAGCTATTTTTCAGACGCGACCTAGCAATCGCAAACGACACGCTCAACGAAGTGGGCCCATCATCACCATCATCGTCATCATCATCGTCATCACGCGGAGGTGTAAAGCGGCAGCCGAATACTCTCAACGCACGATGTCTCTACAAGTGGAGGCGTAGCTCTGGAGCGTCCGTCTGGCCTGGCAGGGTACTTTGTTGGCCTACTCTTCTACGCCGGCCAGACGTGTGAATGCTCAGCGCTTTGCCCCACCACACGAGGCCCTTGGTTTGACTTTGGTGAACCCGCAGAGAGACGGGAGGTGGAGGTCGAGAGGGGTGGGGAGAGGGGATTTCATCAAATTGCTCCGGGAGATGGAAGCCGATCGAAGGTCTGCGACCTCTGGATAGCAAGTCCAGTGCACTGCTGTCTTGCACACAGCTTAAAGGTCCGCGGTCTGAGCGTGGCTGTGTTTCACTCCAGCGCTGTCCTCGAGACAGCCTGGTCCCTTCACCTGATGAAGGCCGCTTGTGTTGTGGCCGAAACGTCGTGATTTTTGTTGTTTTATTTTTTACCTACGTGGTGACTTTACCGAATAGAACCAAAGCGTATGCACTGCTGGTCCTCGACGCAACTCTGGCGGCGGCGGCGGCGGCGGCGTTCTTACCGCGTCGACTTAGCAGCTCCGTGCTCGTTTCACGCACCGAGTGCTCCCTGCCGCAAAATGGAACCACCATTCCTTGCCGAGCTCGCCAAGGGGGCATTGAGGCACGAACCCCGGTCGTTGTCGCAGCGGCGGCGGCGGCGGCGGCGTTTGGCCGAGCCGTCGAACAAAGGCGGTGGTCACCGCATCGTCGTCGTCGTCGCGCGGCGCTTTGGGATTGCGCTTCCGCGGCCGTCTGGAACGCTCTTTCCTTTCCGGTATTAGGAAGCCACTGGAAGCCACTGGGAACTTTGAAATCGTCATCTAGATTGACGAGCTGCAAATTGTGTTTAGTTTGTTGTCCTTCCCGCACCCCCTGCACCTCCGTTTAGCACGGTTGGCTTTGCACGGTAGTGCCAAAAGAAGTTCAACATACATAGACTCGCAGAGCTATAGACTCACACAGAGACCCATAGACTCGCAGAGCTATAGACTCACACAGAGACCCATAGACTCACACAGAGACCCACAGACTCACACAGAGACCCATAGACTCACACAGAGACCTACAGACTCACACAGAGACCCATAGACTCACACAGAGACCCATAGACTCACACAGAGACCCACAGACTCACACAGAGACCCATAGACTCGCACAGAGACCCACAGACTCACACAGAGACCCATAGACTCACACAGAGACCCATAGACTCACACAGAGACCCATAGACTCACACAGAGACCCATAGACTCACACAGAGACCCACAGACTCACACAGAGACCCACAGACTCACACAGAGACCCACAGACTCACACAGCGACCCATAGACTCGCACAGAGACCCATAGACTCACACAGCGACCCATAGACTCGCACAGAGACCCATAGACTCACACAGAGACCCGTAGACTCACACAGAGACCCGTAGACTCACACAGAGACCCATAGTTTTGTCATCCTTCCCCCGCACCTCGGTTTAGCGCGGCTGGCTACGTACGGCGCAAAAGAAGTTGGGCATGCGTCCGTGCGTAGATGCGTGCCGCGGTTTATGTTGAGAGCCAAACGGACGATACGGTAACCGTGGAACTTATGTCGTACGTGCGATCGATGCATCGCAGCATCGCCACCGCCACGGCAGAGCTGTTTCTAGCCAAACGAGTGAGGAAGGTGGAAGAAATTAAAATAAATAAATCCTTCTTTGGTTCTTTCGGTAAAGTCACGTGGAATGAGAATAAAATAATAAATTGATAAAATAAAATAACACGATAAAATTCTCACGACGTTTTGGCCACAACACAAGCGTGATAATTTTATTGTGTTATTTTATTTTATCAATTTATTATTTTATTCTCATTCTACGTGACTTTGTCGAAAGAACCAAAGAAGATGAATCCTTGCAGTCACGAAAGCTTTAAATCGAAAAATAAATCCACTTGCACCTTTTCCAATAATCACACAATCAGTTCCCGGAGTACGCTTAATGCAAGCCTCCTTGCTTTTCCACTCTCCTCCTCCTCCTCCACCTCCACCCACCCACCCACCAAAACCCACCAACCCCCACTTATTTTGGAATCAAAATAACAGCAAGGCGTGAAACGCAACGGGCGAAGGAACGGCGAGGTGGCGTCCCGCGCCTCATAACGTGCTTCCGCTAGATTGCGCTCGGGGGATTGTAATCTATCTGCCGGCGATAAAGTTACCCTCGGCGGAAACGTTAGACGGCATGGCCCACTGTAGGTACCGCATCGCCCGTCGGGATTTTCTTTTTTTTGCGACGTGCGTAGCCAACCGTGCTGATCGGAGGTTGATTCTACGTACAGTGGCTAGGAGATGTTAACCACCTCGCTTGGTGTACAGGAGGTCGTGGGCTCGATCCCAACCCTGACCCCTGCTGTATATTTGGAGTTTGCGTCTCTCTCTCTCTGTCCCCGTGGTCGCGTGGATTTTTCTCCGGGGTCCTCCTCCACGTTTAGAATCAACATCACTTCGCGTTCAGAGTATTTGGCTGCTGCTAAAAATTGTCCACGTGATAGGCCACTTAATTTGGCTATCATTTGTGATGGCCAGGTCGTAACTGACAACGTGCTCTATAGCTCAATTGGCCTTACCTGGTAAAATGAAATAAAAAATAGTAGAGTCGTGCGTGAATAATGTGAGTATAGAGTGTGTGAGTAATGTGTGTATAGAGTGTGTGAGTAATGTGTGTATAGAGTGTGTGAGTAATGTGTGTATAGAGTGTGTGAGTAATGTGTGTATAGAGTGTGTGAGTAATGTGTGTATAGAGTGTGTGAGTAATGTGTGTATAGAGTGTGTGAGTAATGTGTGTATAGAGTGTGTGAGTAATGTGTGTATAGAGTGTGTGAGTAATGTGTGTATAGAGTGTGTGAGTAATGTGTGTATAGAGTGTGTGAGTAATGTGTGTATAGAGTGTGTGAGTAATGTGTGTATAGTGTGTGTGAGTAATGTGTGTATAGAGTGCGTGAGTAATGTGCGTATGGAGTGTGAGTAATGTGTGTATAGAGTGTGTGAGTAATGTGTGTATAGAGTGTGTGAGTAATGTGTGTATAGAGTGTGTGAGTAATGTGTGTATAGAGTGCGTGAGTAATGTGCGTATGGAGTGTGAGTAATGTGTGTATAGAGTGTGTGAGTAATGTGTGTATAGAGTGTGTGAGTAATGTGTGTATAGAGCAGGGGTCGGGAACCTTTTTGACTAAGAGAGCCATGAAAGCAAAAAATTTGGAAATTTATTTCAGTGAGAGCCATATAATATATTTTAAAAGTGAATTCAACTAAATGTCAGTATAATAAGCCTCTGAATTTATTCTTTTAAATAATGTTGTTATAACACTCACCATTAATGCGACTTCTGGTGCTGCATGGATTTGCTGATGTCTTTGTAGTCGGGTTGGTACTTGGTGAGGTTAAGCTTCATGCAAGCGTTGAGGCTTTCATCCGTTAAACGTGATCGTAGGTTGGACTTGATGTTTTTTAAGATGTGAGAATGACTGCTCACATGCATACGTAGATCCAAACATGGTCAATACAGCAATACTCACACGCTGCAGTGTGTGGTATGTGACAGGAAGCGCGTTCCAAGTTTTGAGAATCAGCTGGTCTTTGGGTTGGAGTTTTTTCATTTCTGTCCACATGTGCTTGCTCGCCAACTCCGCTTTCTGTCGTGTGATTCTTTCCAAATCTTCATTCAGTGACTTGAACTTATTCACCCACATGTCTGAGGCCTTCAGGTCAGCCACTTCTGCTTCAAAATCTCTGACGGAGACACCAGGGATGTAATTCAGGTCGGCTGTGTTCAGTGAACACTCGTTTGGATGGGTGATGAACTTAAAAAGACGAGTGTGCTCACGAAATTCTCCAAAGCGTGCTTTGAAGGACTGTAGGAGACTGGATGTGCAGCCAGCTAGCTGGTGGAGATCAAGGTTTTGAATGGGCTCACTTGCTGTGCATGCATCTTTAAATTGGCTCAGTTTTTCAAAATGTAGTAAACGACCTGTTTCAAGATCCGTGATGAAAAGCTCCAGCTTGTTTTCAAAAGCAAATACAGCTTGTTGAAGGGATAACACTGTATTTCCAATGCCTTGCATTTTCACGTTGAGCTGGTTCAGATGTTCAGTCAGATCTACGAGATAGTAAAACTTGAGGAGCCACTCGGTGTCGGCTAGCTCAGGATGCCCGACGCCTTTCATTTCAAGGAAAGTCCGGATTTCGTTCAGGCAAGCCGCAAAACGGCTAAGCACCTTCCCTCTTGACAACCAACGCACATTGCTGTGCAAAAGCAGACCAGGATAGTTATTTACAACTTCATCCAGCAGTGTTTTAAACTGGCGATCATTTAAGGCTCGGGCAACAATAAAGTTGATCACACGAATGACCAGCGACATCACTTCGCCAAACTGCCTGTCACACATCTGAGCACAAAGTGCCTCCTGGTGTATAATGCAATGGAAACTTAGGATGGGTCTATTTTCATGTTCACGGAGAAGCGCCACAAATCCTTTGTTTTTCCCCACCATACACGGAGCACCATCAGTACACACTGAGAGAAGTTTATCCATAGGTAGACTTTTTTCTTGAGCAAACTCCATGAAAGACTTGAATAAATCCTCACCTCTTGTGGACCCTTTTAATGGCAGAACAGCAAG